CAGATTGTTTAGGTAATTGGAGAGACTGTGGGGTCGACTAGCAAGATACTGAAGCTTGGCCCATAGGAAGATTCCTCCATCCACACAGTTTAGCGTAGATGGAAGAATCTGTTGCACTTTTTCCATCTGACCATAGAAAATCTGCAGATAATCTATTGTATAAGTGTATGGCCAGCTTTAGGTAGGTTTGAATTTAGTCAAGTCTAACAGCCACTCCAAAACAGTGTAGTTTTGTATCAGATACCCTGGCTGTCACATCCAGAACCAGGAATGTCCAATATGCCCAAATGTATTATTTCTATTACTAAAGCCCTTAGCCATCTCCTTGAGATGGCAAAAGGTTTGTGGGCAAAGATCTAATCTGCTATTGTGGTCATAAACTCTGCTATTTACAGATGATATCTTATGTCAACCTGTACATACCAATCTTCCTTAACTATTATATGTTCTAACGCTTCAGGTATCTCAGGCTCAAGGTTCAACCAATCAAGCAAAAGCCTTGGATGTTTCCCTATTTGAAAAAATGCTAGTTGCATTCCAGCATAACTTCCTATTTAAGTGAGCTTCTAGGCTTCACTATTTGAGAATCAACCTTACTTCAAGCAGCAAATCTCTTTACAAGGCAAAAAAAAAGAGAGAAACATGAATGTTATCCAAATAAAATACCTCGCCAAACTGCTATATTATTTCCAGTCATTGTTGTTGTAACGAGCAATGTGCCTCTCCCAAAAGAAAATTCTAAAGATTATATGGGGCCCCACCAGGAATGACCAGAATGACACACATACATATATGTATACTATGTCCCACTCCATTTTATTTTCTCCTGCCATGAAACTCAAACCATCATGAACTACATTAACACACAACCTCAAAATATGGGACTAGGTTAATTATTCAAGTAAAGGCTCTTTGGCAAGTCCAGCAGACAACCTACTCTTCAGAACATCACTTGAGGATCCTTCAGCTTTTGAGTGGTGGACCTCAGCAGTGCAAAGCTATTCAATTTGCATGGCACCCCAATGAACCCGTGTTTTAGTGCAACACAATGTACAAATGAAAACTGTGTTGGTGTGCACTGCAACAAAAGAGGCAGGTCTGTTAAAAGGTCCATTGCCAGCCCATTCAAAATGAATGAGCTGCCTTACCACATTGCACATTAACATGCATGCATTAATACACCACAAAGGGCTGAAACCAACCTTAATGTATAGGAGGTGGCATCGCCTTTCCTAGCTGCATAAAATTATGTTTTTTACCAATTTCATTTGCCATTTTGTCAAGATCCTTCTGTATTATGTCACTATATTGCACATTTTTAGTAGTAATACATCATTTTGTGGCAGCAAAAAAGCCAGAATTGCTATTTTATTCTTCAAATCGTAAAGGCCTCTTTTCAAATTATGAATCACGTTAATGTACCTGCATTAATTTAATGCATTACTGGGACTAAAGTGTTAATGCAGCCCATTCATTTTAAATGAGCTGGCAGCGCACTTTAACGCACACACGTGCACTGTTTTTTTTTTTAACACAGCTTATTTTATTTCTCAGTTGCCTAAGATCTCATATTATTGATCTCCTTTGTTTGCATCACATTAATGTGAGCAGCTTCACAAGAGAATTGTCAATGATCTCCCGTAACTGGACAATGGTGCAGTTTAATTGTATACCAGAATTTATGAGCAATTAATCTACTCTACAGACTTGATTAGAAGGTTAATAGATGAACATTTGTTCATTTAAAGCATTGTTGGGCAATTTTATGACGGTTTAACCCCTGCTTGAATAATCTCAAATGTTCAAAAACTATTTTGCTTTATCTAGGAGATTAAACCTTTCTGCAGGGGATACACAGACATTTTTATGTAGGCCAGTCACTACTAAAATCTCCTGAGATGGATATCTTTGTGTCATATTACTTTTATGACTCATTCACACCAATGCGTCACCACAGCGGTCAAACTGTGCAGCAGTGGCATTCATTTTTGTTTTTTAATACATTTTTTTTTTTTTTGTAGAAATTTTTGTCAAATAAAAGTCTGGAAACATGACACTTAAAACATTATGGCATTCATTTTGAATGGCATCTTACTAAAGTAGCGTACAACGGTCCCACAATGCTGAGCACTAGAACATATATGTGTTGTGCACTGCGTTTATAAAAATCCATGTCCTTTTTTGTGTGTTAAGTGGCTCTATGAGATCTTCAGTGGTGCGACTGATATTCCAGGATTGCACAATGTCGCAATTTAATGGCATAGCTGAAACAACTAGAGGTTGATCTCTTCTCAATAGACTTGAATGGGAGCAGGTAAATAATCATTTAACAGTTTGTTTGTTTTTTAGGTGATTCTTCTGCAGTTTTTCTCTTTCGATAATGCTTTTAAAAATGAATTTCATGAGACTTCCGATCTAATCACCCAACCATCTTCAGCAGCAGCAGGAAAATAAGCAAATAAAAGGAATCATAAGCTTTGCTTATTTAAAACAGTGAAATATGCCTCTAAATTAACAATGATCCTAAGTTGGTACAATGTGTCCTTGACTTCTAAAACGAATGCAAGCCATCTTACTATTTATCTTGCTACGAGCCTTGTATTAGTCAGTGTTTCCTGTAAGTAAATGTGAGTAGCACCAGCAGAGATCTCAGCTCTGACTTTATCAATGTTATGTCCGCCGATTGTCTGGGCAGTTTTAGTTGGCAGAACAGAAACTTGTACATGTTTTCCTGATGTGCTATGCAACTGATTTCACCAGACACTAACATTCTCTATTGCACTAGTCCCCAGACAAGGGTACAGCCTCTAAAAAGTATTTCTGAGCTATTATTTTTCATAATTTGCAGTTTAACCACAATACTTATTTGCCCTAGAGAGCTTTGTGGCCTGCAAGCTTAAAAAAGAACTTCGGGGAAAAACACTTTAGCTAATATGTGGAAATGAATACCCTAATGCATTTTCCATAATGACAATCTTTTTGGCATGCTTTAGGTGATAAAAGAAGTGTATGCATGCACAAGGACATGCCGTACCATTGCTAGCGGATGAATTAGGTGGTATATGGTTGGCCTTTAGGACAATATTCCTGGTTATACCATGCACTGTAATGATTAGGGATGCACCGATACCGAGTATTAAGGAGAGTACTCGCACTTATTTTAAACATACTTATCCCGATACCGGGAAGCCGACTCCAAGCAAGGCAGCGTGTAAGGACTCCCCGACCAAGCAGGAAGCCAGGCGGTGAGTCCTTACACGCTGCCTGGTTTCCTGATTATTACCCCCACTTCTGGCTTCTGGATTGGCCAGAAAGCCAGCTCCATACTTCCTTGTCGTTCCGGGTAATCAGGAAGGCGCCCAGCGAGTCATTACACGGCACCTGGCTTCCCTAATGGGACTTGCGGTATCGGCGAGTACTGAAAAAAATATATATAATTATTCGTACTTGATACCCAGAAAACAGTATCTGTGCATCCCTAGTAAATATACTCTAAATATAAACAAGTGAGGTAAAGGGGGTGATTTACTAACCTAAACACACGCACGCACCCGGTGCGTGTGATTTTCACACAGCAAAACATATTTATCAACCAAAAAAAGTATCTATAAGCATATTTCCACTAATGCCATATATGGAAAAATCATGCACATGATGCATATATAATGCTGCTTCACAGTTTAGACAAAAATGGTTAGCTCATGCATTTACATTCCTGCATTCATCAACGCAAGCAACACAACATAGAGCTAATTTACACAACATCACCTTGCAATTCATGCTTGGCTTTGCACAACACACCTGCTGGGTGTGTACACACTACAAAAGGTGTTTAGATTCCACCCATAGATCATGCTGGGAGGGAACACACCACAGAGGTGTATACATGTTCGTGGTGTGTTTATAAGGTTAGTAAATCAACCCCAAAGTGTCATCCAATTACATATTAAATAAATAAGGTGTATTATTCACAGGGCCGCCGATAGGGGGTACAGACAGCCCTCCTGTACCAGGCCCAGCTTTTATTTCCTTTTTCCTCCCCTCAGGTTTTTTTTTTTTTTTCTCCCCCCCTCTTAGCAACCTGGACGCTGTGGGCGGGTGTCAGCCACGGGAAAGTGTAAGGAGTGCACACATGTGATTCTCCACCCAGTGGATGAAATCAGCACTCCACTCCATTGCATTAACCCCTGTGGCGAGACACAGCGGGAAATTTAACAGTGGTCCTACTGACAGGAAAGCTCCCAGTGCTCGGCTCCCACTGCCGGCTCGCAAAGTGAATCTTCAGACTCTGAGGCAATGGCATTGCTCTGTATCTTGAAAGTGCTCTATAGCTAACTTTTTGCAGTACATGCAAGGCCTGGAAAGTACCACAAGACAGAGCACAGTGACTGAAGGTCACATTCCAGGTTAGCCCTGCAAATTGAGTCTAGCAGGGTCCAGGTACAACTCTGAAAGCCAGGCTTAAGGAAGACTAGTTTGGCAGTAGTAGGAATGTTGAATAAAAGAACAAAAGTTGCTTGCAAAACAGTAAGATTTTTCTCAGCAGAGCAAAGACATCCATCCTGCTAGGACACTAGGGAAAAAAAACTTAGGCATGCGGAGAGTAGGAAAGGTTATCCTGAGCTGTTTTCCAGTGTCCAATCCTTCTGCAGGCGACAGTAGATAACTTTCTGTGATCCTCAATGCATGGGAACGTAAATGTGTTTACTTTCAGGCTTACCCCTTATGTACGCTTACATAATAGTGTACATTGTTATTGTAAATATGATTTTGTACCCATTTTGCATCATCCATGAAAAAATTTAAATATGCAAAATGTTTAATACAATACGTTTAGTGAATTTACAAATGAAAGAAAATACATAGTACATATATATATACTAAAACTACATACAATATAAAACAGAGAAGATGACAGTGTGAATTAAGAGGAAGCTGGAGATCAGCAAGTTCTACGGTCTGGAAGAGAAGATCTGAAAATCAAACACTGTGCTCCTTATGAAGTGCGGCTGGAGATCTTATAGGGGGCTAAGATTGGTTTCTAGCTGGATGAAATAATTACAAAGCTCATCTTGAAAGCTGTCCAATAACTGCTCCATCTCATCCTTGAGTTCCTTCAACACATATGCTGGAGATTCACTTTCCGTATTTAGGATTTTGGAAAAGAAAGCGTTCCAGAGAGTTCCACGCCACAATCTAAAAGCAAAATCAGGAACCGTTAGTGTGAAAAAGTGATATTTTTACAGCTACAGTAGATACAGAAATCCGCTCCGAAACCACACTACAAGCTCCCTTACATCAAGCAAGGGAAAGCAGGACAGGGCCACAGGCCTGGGGGCCTCGGGAGTGGATCCTTAAGGGAGGAAAGGAACCAGATCCTGGCTTGTCAGAATAATATAGGGGGAAAAACCCCTCCGCTCTACAGCAAGGCCAGAAGGGAGGAAAAACACCTTCAACAGCAGAGCCGCACAGAGGGGGATCCGTGACCTCAAGGCCAACCGGTCAGGAAGAAAAGAAACAAATGTGAAGTGGTCCTGGACGGTAGGAAACACAATCTAAACTGGATGAGGGGAAGGGGAGGGGCTTTTAACTGTTTTACTGTGTATCCTGTAGAAGGTGGAACCAATCATCTCTCAGATTGCTGTCCTGGAAGATGATTAGGGAAAAGTGATATTTTTACAGCTACAGTAGGTACAGAAATCTATAATGTAGGTCAGGAGGGTGCACATACCGTCTGCAGATTAGCAGCCAGATCAAGAAACCTGTGATGTAGACGGGGTGCACAGATCATCTGCAAGGAGTTCTACCATTTTGGGCCTTGATTATACTGCATAATTCAGTGCAGAAAACATCTGGTAGCTATGGGAAATATGGCTTTTTCCCCAGACCATAGAGATGCAGCCCATTATTTACATTACTGATCTGAGACTCATTAAAAAGTTTCAGAAATAAGAAAGGTCTGTTTTACCCAGAGCCACTGATCAGATTGTAACATTCCACTTTTATGCGTATATATTTAATAAACAGCCACTAGTATCCTTAGACTGCTGCAGACCATCTGAGACAGCTTGTTCTTAGACCGGTGTCTGGAGCGTCTCACCCCCTCTGCTGCAGCGGTCTAAAGGTGCCCATACACCTTACGACCATCGCAAGACTTTTGTCTTGCGATGGTCGTATGCTTATTGAAAGCTCGTACGATCTGCCCACCTTGGACGGGCAGATCGTACTTGCGATCATCGAAAGCCCGCCCCGCTGAGGGGAGGGCTTCTGATGACCGGAATGCAGAACGGGCAGTGTGCGCGTGCGCACAGCGGCCCGTTTCGCAGCTATCGGACGAGCAGGCTAGAAACCCGCCGACAATCGTACGATTCTCGGCGGGTTTTTGAGCATGTTGGTTCGACAAAAGACGTGCGACCGTACAGTAGAAACACCTTTAGGATCCTGGTGTCACCACGATCTATAGACAGTGCATAGACGTGAGGAAACCGAGTAGCAGTCCATCTGTGCAACAGAGGAGGCGACACGCTTCAGTGACCACAGAAGCAGGGGGCCAGCTCAGATGGTGTGGTGAGTATAACTTTTTTTTTTTAAACAACTACACAAAAATGAGCACTTACCCCTTGCAGTGTGGGGGTGACCCCACTGCAAAGGTAATACCATTTTTTTTACTGGAGTTCTTTATTAAAACTTCAGGCTTACACCTTAGCTGTACCCCAGAGGATGCTACTAGGCATGTTTTTCCCCTTCTGCCAATCATCACTTTCTCATGCAGCCTGCAACTGATATTTCCTGCAGGGGAGAGCACAGGCTGTGGAAAACATATTAGCTTGGCTTAATCTTCTTTCTCCTGCATGGAACCCACTGCTGAGACAGAACCCTGTTGCTTCTCCACAAGCCAATACAGTCTGGCCTGGCTTTACAATAAGCTTTTAAAAGAAACACTAAGAACCGGCTTTTAACCAACTGGCTACTAACCAGCAGATCATAAAATATGTAGGTAATTTATAACAATTGCTCACCCGGGAATATCCTTGGTTATTTTCCAAACAGAATCTTCTTGGTGGACCTGCAAGCACTCGCTGAAGATCATTAAGTGTACCACATTTGCAATGCCAAGAAGATCCACCTGGGGGCAGCAAATTAAAGGGATTAGAATGAATACAGTTGGCTAATGTTTGTTACATAAACGTTGCACGAGTTGCAGTTCTTTAAAAAGGCACAAAAAAGCATCATCAAAAGAATAAAACAAGCTTATCAAAAAAACAAGCTGAAAAATACTCCCACAAATCCACAATTATACAAGTACTGTTTGCATTAAAAAAAAAAAAAAGATATTTTCAAATAAACAGATACATGAGCAGGGTGCAGCAAAACATAGCTTCAGTCACAGCACGTCTGCGAATTTAAAGGCACGTAGTATTCTGGGAGTTCAAATTAATGATCAGGATGTTGATGGCTTACTACGCAACCATCAAAGCTTCTTTTAAAGCCCATGCAGAGCAAATAGCTAGTGCAATTTTACATGTAATAAAAGCAGCAGTAAAGAATAGTCCAAGCCATAAGACGAGCAGGCCCGGGGCCTTGCCTTACGCAGCTGAGCTTATCAGAGTGTTCTGTAGAGACTAAAAGAACTAGAATTTTCAATGCTGCAACCAAAACAACGTCAACTGGTTGGCAGCTATTGGCAACATCTCTGGTTTTTATAGTGGTGGAACTGCTACCATGACAGTTCATGAAACTACAGTGGTAGGGGGGTTCACGAACTTCATTCATTCCACGATTCTGGTCGCGGACCGAATCAAATTTCCTCATAAGGTTCAATGTAAATAAGGTTAAAGTGACATTAAAGTCAAAAAAAAATTCCCTCCCCCTAATGTTAGCACTTACCTTAAATGATGTCTCTTAATCCGATCTTCCTCTTCTTTCCTGTCGTTTTCATCTGTCATTCCAGCGGCGCGGCGGCTCTCCGATCCAGCGCCGACTTCTCTGTCCTTGCTGGCACGGCCGAAAATCCGAACTGCGCGTGCGCTCGCCCCAGGATGCTTTGTGGCCGCCTGAGCAGTTTCGGATTCTCAGGCGGGAGCGCGAGGTAAAACCGCTGTTAAAGCGGTTTTATGGGTTTTTAAAAAAACTTTTTGCCTATATCTACTGCTTGCTAGCAGTAGATATAGGCAAAAAAACAGAGGGTTTAGAAACCCTTTAGGGCCTGTTCACATGATATATCAGGTCCTGATCAGGTGCGGATCTGCAGAGGCGGTGCTACTGATGCAGTGCATTTTTGCCGCGTTCCAGTTAAAAAAAATATTTTTTATTTTTTTTTGCTGGAGTGGGGCTGTCAGTATGTTAGCTGCAGTGCGTTTGACGCGTTTCAGGTCAGTTTCCTGACCGGACAAAATGTGACATGCAGTATTTTTTCTGTCGTAACCTGAAAAGACTGCACACATGAGAACTGTAGCCCATAAAACACATAGGGATAAATTTTTAGTGCAGGAGCGTACGGATCAGGTCAGCACAGAAAACAGACGTCGTGTGAACAGGCCCTTAATCGTTCTGACCCCTACGAATGTGGTCGCGAACAAAAATCAAAATTTTCCCATAAGGTTCAATGTAAATAAGTTGTAACAAAGATCTGCGCTCTTGGAAGACTGCTAAAATTGTTAATAAATTAGATAGTAGTCCTAAAGCTGCTATGAGAAAAATATGTGATTTGTAAGTGTTAACACAGCGCTATAGGCGTTTAAGTAAACTAAATACTAGGGATGTCCCGATACCACTTTTTCAGGACCAAGTACAAGTTCTTCCCTGCATGGACTTGCCGATACCAATTACCGATACTTTTTTTTTTCTTTTTTAAAAGGGACAGGTGACTTTAAATGATCCATAGTACAACTACATGTTATGTACTATGGATCATGATTTAACCTATTCATATTCCGGCCCGACATAAAAAATAGGAACTGGTAAAAAACAGCTCGTGTTGGAAAGACGCATTGACGCGTTTCGTTACTTGACGTCTCCTGAAGGTAAACAGATCCGTTTACCTTTAGAAGACGTCAGGTGATGAAACGCGTCAAGGGGCAGATCTTTCCAACACAAGCTGTTTTTTTACCAGTTTCTATTTTATGTCGGGCCTGCCGAAAAATAATTGTAAAAATCCTATGTGAGCTGTTATTTTTAAATAAACTTTGCTGTTTCATACTGCACCATGAAGGCTGTTGTTTCTCTCTTGTGAAATCCCATTTGATTCACGATCGGGACCGGGAGTAAAAACATCAGTTGTTCGTGGGTAAGAGGAGCCGGGGTCCTGCCGTGGACAGTTAGCTGGATCCGTTGCGGTGCCGTTAGCGAAGACACCTGCCGGTATCCGCTCTATTGTCGTGGGAATCCTGCACACATCGGTGGGAGAGCTGGGGGACCAGACCCACACCTCTGAGAGGGGCTTCATTTTCACACACCATCTGGTGAGTAACCATCGCTTGGGGGCTGCAGAGCGGGCGAGGAAAAGCTGCTGAACATTTATGTGCTTGCCGTTTTTTCTGCTATTTAAACATTATTATTTTTTATATCACGGATTGAGACTTAAGGAGTTTTTCAATTTTTAATATTTTTTTTCAAACCTTTTTTCACTGGAACTTTTGTTTTACTGGCTTCTCATTTAGCAATTTGTACCATCACCCTACTACTGAGATTGCTATGATGTATTAGCATTTCATTTCATTGATAACTTGTCACATTGTATCACTTAAGGAGCTATTTAACCCCTTCATGACTGAGGCCTTTTTTCCATTTTTTGCACCCATGTTATATTCCAAAGTTTAGGCCTGAAAATTACTTAAAACCCCCCAACATTATATATTTTCTGAATGCCAAGACCCTATAGAATAAAATGGTGGCAGTTGCAATATTAGCGCAACTCCTTATTAAACCCCAAAATTTAGTGACAAATTTTATTAAATGCCCCAGAACACAATAAAATACCCATTTGTTTTAATGAATATTAAAGATGAGGTTACAACGAGTAAAACGATACCCAACATGCCCAGTTTACAAATTGTGTGCGTCCGTGAAACAGCGAATAACTGCAGTACCCCAAAAAGTCCATAGAAGACGCTTTAAAAGCCCCCACAGGTCATCAATTTAGAGATACCCCAAAATACTGGCCCTAGAATTATTGCTCTCACTCCGGCGTGCGCGGCGATACCCAACATGTGTAGCGCGTTCGTCGTTTTCATACGTGGGCGCACCAGACGCGTGTTTACGTGGCGACGCGCGTGCTCACGGGGGACTTTAAAAATGTTTTTCATTATTATTAGGTTTATTTTATTGGTACTCGTACTCGATACCGAAAAACCGGTATTAGTGCATCCTTAGTTTTGATTCAAACTATTTTTTGTATTGGGACAAGTAGATTGTCGTGAAGGACAAGTAGATTTGGCCCCCACTTTAGCCCTTGGACAAGTATTTTTTTTTTAAATTTCCACACCCCTGGGTTATATACACTATTGTATTTTTTCACTGTGAACATTATGGTTTTCTCCTAACTAAATATTACATGTTTTATTTTGATGTTTCACCTTATGGGATTTAGCTGTAACATTAATTTGTTTTAATTATTGGTATTTCGTTTACTTAAACACCTATAGCGCTGTGTTAACACTTACAAATCAATGTAAATAAGGTTAATCCGTTCTGAACCATATGTAAATAAAAATTTGTAACCACAAAAAAATGAAAGTACAGTACGAAGTGAGTAAACACGAACCTTTGCACTTTCTTTGGAGCTATGCTGGCTTGAATAATACTGTACAGTACTGTATGTTCTATAAAGCACACAAAAAAAAGCTCCACAGCAAGTGTGCACACGTCTGCCTGCGACCGCGATCTCGACTAGAGGAAGCCACGACCACGTATCAGAGCGGGGAAAATGGCCGCGGTCGTGTTAGTCACCCGAATTGGAGTTCGCAAAACGAAGAAAAATTTTGCCGAACTTCCTGTCCGGGAACCAAATTGTGCGCGAACAGAAGCGTTCGTGAACCGAGGTATTAGGGCCGTGACACACTGTACGAGAAGCAGCGCTGAGCGGGGGCGCGCTGCCTTTGCGAGCAGTGTGTCATGTAATTTTCTGGTCGGCACCTCAGCTTGCGAGAGCTCGCGGAGCTGAGCGTGCCGAGATGAACAATTTCAACTTCAGCCAATCGGCTCGCGCGTATAAACCAGCGCGATGCGACAGCTGGCAGGTTGATACGGACGAGCCGATTGGCTGAAGGTGCTGTCAATCATCTGACTGCACTCAGCTCATACACTGCACGCAAAGCTCCGTGGCGGATAGCTTTGCTTCGCTCTGCACGGCTTCGCGTGCAGTGGGTCACGGCCTTTACTGTATGGGGTCCGTCAGTAAGAGAAGTGACTGTACTTAGATGAATTAGAGTAGAGGATATCAGACAAACATAACTTACATGGGTTGACCATGGTAACTGCCAAGCATCTAACCATAACTGCAGCACAGGTTCTCAATGTTTAAACGATGTACAAATTTACCTGGTAAGGTGAAGTTCTGCCGGCTAGGACCTGCTTTCCATACTCAGTTTGTGCTATGGGTAAACTTCTTGATGTCAGCGTAGGACACAGCCGCATATCCATGCAGTGAGAGAAGTCTGTTGGCTTGATGCAACCGTACATCTCTGTACAAGAAGACAGGTCAAACATCCTGATGGGGGGGGGGGGGAAAAAAAATAGTTAATCTAACACTCCATACTTACGATAGAATTCAATAGCTACATACTGATGTATTCAAACAACTTCTGAGTGGAGTACCAATGTAGAAGTTAAGACTTAAGAGTTTGCCGAACAACATAAGTCAGTCAGTTATACCTTGTGCTTAGGGTAAAAGGTGAAAAAGCACAAGAGTCAAGTAGTATAATTTATAGATCAACCAGTAGGAAACACAGGTGACCAGAATTCCTAACAGATGGAATGTGTTTTATGCAAATTGTTGTGTACTCAGACCCCGAGTGTATGGAGATCCGGTCTGTGAAGGTCCAGGCGTTTGACCGATCTTCTTTGGATAAAGCTCCCTTAGTTGTTACTCCCATGATATGTTTAATCTGGTTGATGTGACCGAGTAGTAGATTAGGGATAGCAAATAAGGAAGGTCAGCCACTGAAAGCTGCGATAGTTTTGTTAGTGGTGATTTGAGGACTTTGCGTACAAAAAAATTTACATAATGTCATAGTTGGATGTAAGCAAACTAGAAGTGTGGCAGTCACGATTCTCTAAGAGAAGAGATATCCTTAGATCGAAGTAAGCCTAAAATATCTGCTAGAAAATAGAATCTTTGGGCAGAAGACGCATGTAAAGTCTCTTCTGCCAAAATACAGCTGCTTCTCACCTCTAGCAGTTTTTTTACAACTTCTGCACACTGTACAGTGCATGCGACATGCAGTGTACTACCCGGAGTCCTTCCCATCATCAGTAATATGAAAGGAATGGATCAAAGTGCCAGAGACAATGTAACTGCTGTGCGCATGTGCAGGAGTCATATTATAAGCAGCCCAATGAACGACAGGGGACTGGAAGAAGCAGCAGATGGAGCAGTGACTGACAGCCTAGATCGGTCAGCGCTGGAGAAGTGTAAAGTAACAGCTTGAGAAACATTATCTGCCAACACATTTAGTACTGCTAGTTTATTGGCACCTTGGTGCTACTCACAATAGCCACACGGTGCCTATATTAGTCTTTGTACCAGAAGACTTCTATCCATCAAACACTGAGTGCAGAGAACACAGCTGGCGATCATGAGGTCTGCTTGAGAAACCCATAGAAGTAGCTTCTGTGCACAATTTTATGTGAAATGCTTTTTGTTCTGTGTAAAGTTACCATTATTTAAAGAATGGCACAGCCCCAAATTCTTATGCCAACAACAAAACTAGTAGGTCTGTGGCAAATTGTTAAAAGTTTTCCATTTCAACTAAAAAACGATAGCATTGAAGCAAACAGACAATAGCGATCGATCATCCATGGTTTAGAGCAACTATTACAAACAGAATTGGAAATAGGCTGAAACACCTTTGGCCCAGCATTATGGTGGTTCTCAATCATTTTAAAGTGATGCTAAACTCAGGAGATAAAAACTTGAAAATGCATTCATAGTACCTTAACCCCTTCGTGACTGACGACGTACAGTGTACGTCGCCAGCATCGGGGCTGTTTAAACAGACTCCCGGCGACTTTTGCCGCCGGGACTCTGTTTAAACTTGTAGAGCCGACTGTCGGCTTTACAACAGAAGCGATCCTGGCGACTTACCTGTCACCAGATCGCTTCTGCGTCCCGAAGAAGGGGCCGCCCCCCCCCGCCGGACACCCCCGCCGTGCTTCCTGGGCTCCGTTGCCCCTCCTACGGGCCCGGGACCGGCGATC